GATTCCTTTAGAAACTAAAGTTTCCGAACCGACGTCGGTTCGGAAATTCACTTGATGACGTCGATTGTTATAATAAACCTCAGTCAGTGGGTCCGAGAGCTTGAGCAGCAGTCAGATAAATCTAAGTTCCAGAATAAGCATTAGTAGAAACTCTGAGCTTTAGAGTAAGCGCCAAGTAGGGAGTTTTAACCTCAGAAGAAGCCTTCAATTGGGAAAAAGCCGCCAAAAACGTGTCAGTTTGAAAAATTCGAACTCAAATCTGCTTGGAGGCAAGTTCGTACTTGAGGATATGCACAAACTAGCACTATATCTTCAAGGATGAACTGGACTGTCTGGGGATAAAGACAAGGATATTTTGTGATGCATTTTAACAGTCGGGTAATACTTTAATTTCTTTCACAGGAATTCATATGAAATAAAAGAGATGAAAGGCCACTGAAAGAAATAGAACAACAAACAGATGCGAAATTAGTGGACAGAATTGAAAATCAAAATTGAAAAATAGCAGCTTCAAAATTTAATCCAGACAGTAATCAACATATACAATCTTCAGCATAAATTTACTTCATAAAAATGTTTACAAATACCAAAAGGGTATAAATATACAGAAGTGCTAAGAAAAGCTGTAGTTATGTTGTCGGCATGTTGTACATTAGTAGAAAAAAACAGCAGTTTAGGGCCTTAAGTGTCCTTCGTTTGTTGCGAGTATGTTAGCTCAAACAAGCCTTTTTTCTTCCCAACAAAATTTCCTCCTATTACCGCTGAAGGTCACTATTTTTTGTTTCTGAATAAATATAATTGCTCCTAGAATATATGCAACTTTTTTCAGTGCGGTACTTCTTTGTAATCCAGAATGACTATGCACGAGGCAAAGTTTGCCTGATCCTTAGTATTTACAAATGACATCCGGAGATGGTTAAACGGAAAAACCGTTAATTCAGACTAATTTCTTCAGAAGAAAGAACGAATGTCAGGAGCGCAAGTAAACTGACCACTAGACAATACAGCATTAGTTTTTAAACCAACTGAAGAAGTTATCAACTGCGTAGGCGAAGAACCACACTGTAAATTGATGCTAATCTCAAAATATTAAAGTAACAGCATTGTCTTCGAATGCTTCTGCTTGTATACATAATTATTCCTATTACTAGTGATCGTTCACAATAC